GTGTATATATATATATATATATATATATATACTGATATCAAGCTATTGCTGATTGTTGTTTTTTCAGTATGCTTTCAATATATACAGTACACATATATATATATTTTACACACATATATATATATATATATATTTTAAACATATATATGTATATACATATACATATATATATATACATATATATATATACATATATATATATATATATCACATATATATTATGGTAATAACCATTAACAGCATATGGCAATTGCATATAACTACCACCTCTATCACACGTTTTTGTTTTACAGTACAGATCGGTTATTATTATATTAATATGTATGCTAAAAAGCTAAAATAATGGAAAATGGCAGCCATTTTAAATTGTAATAGCTCAAAAATGTGTACAATATTTAGTTAACTGTTGTTGTCATTGTTATGAGTTAATTTCCAATTGAATGCTGCATTTTAATAACATAAACATACAATATTAGTGACCATTTTAGGAAAAAATGGCGGCCATTTTGAAATTGCTGGCAACCCCCCTTACGTATGAAAAAAAAAATGTTGCACATACTTTTTTGATTTATCAATGTCTACTCTACATCATATCCAATTTTTAACAAATATAGCAAAAAAAAATGCAACCTCTGATATTGCTACATTTCGGACTGGACTATACTAGGGGATCGAATTCATCACTAGTCGCCAAGCGCAAGCTCGGTTGTCTAGTGGTTAAGACATCAGGCTAGATACCTGGAGGTCGTGGGTTCGATTCCCACCCGAATCACTTGCGATTTTTTTCGCTAGTATTTGGGGACGTACTGAGTATTCAGTACGATTACACGTCTCTCCCATGATAACTTCCTGACGCAAACTCATATCCGAATAGATTAGGCCTATTTTTTTTTTTTAAATTGCATCATAGGTTCCATCGAAGCGACGGAGCTATGCACAAAAAATCTCCAAAAACTCTTAGTGTCCCTCTTTACAAAACTCTTAGTGTCCCTCTTTACAGGACTCGAAGAGGAAAATAAGGTCCACTCACATTATGGCCAGGAAATGGAATGAATAAAAATACTAAACTCATTTGCAGTATAACGATGATCTATTAAATTTAGAATAATTTCGCTTTAAATGACAGTCTGTTTGAAGTCATATCATTTAAAATAGATTGCCATTTAAAATTTAAAATTCTATTGTTAATATTACTATTTTCATTTTCGTATCAAATTTGAAGTATTTAATATCCTTCCTTTGTGCAATAACCCTTTGTTATTTCTTCAATGCATTCTTTTTACATTATTATTTAAATTTAAAAGTGAATGTATATATTCCTAATGTATTAATTTATTTAATTTGGAATGACACTTTCATACTTTAAATGTATTTTTTTATATATATATTCCATAGGCCTATCTTGTACGGTGTATTGCAAATTTTGTGAGTTAATATTAAGCTCAAATATATTAGAATATAATAATTAGAAACTACGTAGATTATAATTGATTAACTCTTGTCCATTTTCTTTACATATACATAAAGATCATAAACAGGCTGTTTCTGTAAAAGAAAAATTATACCAAACGAAAGTATAATAAAATGTATTAGTAATGCAATGCCAATAACGATAATAGATAGGCCTAAATTATATATTTATACTAATCGGTAGTCATAAGAACATTATTACTGACATTAGCTCAATTTTAATTGGCTGGTCATTCTATCCAGGTAAATAGATCAGGCATAACTTGATTAATCATTGTTGGTCGAACATTACATGGAGGCCTATCTCACTACGTCATACAGAGAATGCAGAAAGTATATGTAAGTACAAACAATTACAGTATTAGAATTTGTAATAACTAATTGGCAATTTTATTATTATTATTATTATTATTATTATTATTATTATTATTATTATTATTTCAAACATATTTATACAGGGAAACATATCAGGTGGTTGTTTTTCATATGGTCCTGTTCAAACTTATACTTATACTACGAATATTATACAAACATAATATGTCACACTTCAGTAAATATTAAATTAGAATAAAACAAAAATGGATGGTTAAACCGCACTTTCAATATTTTACACTCGCGCTAGATATACCTATTTAAATCCCATAATATAATTGTCCTCAAAGAACAGAATAATGAAAGAAAGTTTATGCAGTATAGTGTAGCAGGGGTGGGCATAAAATTGGTCGGAGGGCCAAAGTGAACTTTTGATTTAACACCGTGGGCCGCACCCAAACTTTGATGTTCCAATAAGCTTCCAAAACCTCCAATCACTGCTTTAACATCACCTTTATTCTCAGTTTTAATGTTACTTTTTACATTATTATTATTGGTGTCGGGACGTAAAAAAACAAGGTGCTTTTTTCTAGCCAATTTTGATTGGCGGGCCGCAAATATAGGGTTTTTAATTCATTGTCGCGGGCCGCAAAAAACGGTGACGGGCCACATCCGGCCCGCGGGCCGCACTTTTCCCACCTGTGTTATAAATTGTTATAAGGCTATACGCGCGCACGCTGTTTGGTGACAACATGGCGCCATGCGTTCGTCAAACTCTCTCTTTTCTACCGTAACGAATGGCTCTGGTTATGGCAATGTCATGGCGCCGCTAACTGCGGAAAGTATAAAAAGTCTCAAAACCGAATCCGTCTATAAATTTTTCAACAAATCTTGAAATATTGTAACTGTAATGAAAAAGTAAAGGAAATAAAAAAAAATCATAGCGACAACGCCACTTAACGTTTAAAGGTAGAGTACGGTATGTATTATAAGAAGTTTAATCCTTCCCAAATTATTTCACTTTTTACATCATCGCCTTCTTTTTCATTGAATTTCTTTAAAAACATTGCATAGAATAATTTAATTATTTGTAAAGAATATTGGAACCAGAATAAATCAAAGGGAAAACTCCTGTTAGTAGCATAAAAAATAAATGGTGGTTCCACAAATCTGTAAAAAGTATGATAGTGAATTAATGTGGATGGATATGGACAACAAACACTGTACATTAGTAAAGTAATCCAAAAAACTTTTTTTGAAAAGAAACTGTTGTCACGTCGTCAATCTTTCTCATAAGCAAAATACAATAATCTGGTACAATCCATATACTGTATTAAAGTTGATAAGTGTGTAGAAGTGGTTTGGCGCAATGGGAACGGTTTGGTTTCAATCCCTTGGCTGTGCATTTCGCTTGTGTCCTTGGGCAAGGCACTTTATCTACATTGCTTCTCTCCACCCAGAAGTATAAATGAGTACCTGGTAGAGTTATATGCCAAAATACGCTGATGTAGCTGCTGTAACTTTATGGAACAGTTTGTGTTCTATAGGCGTCTAATTCAATGACCGGGGTAGTAATGTGAAGCGCTTAGAGGCCTTGTTGGCATTAAGCACTATATAAATATAACATATTATTATTATTATTATAAACATCATGTCAATTATACAAAGTTTGTGATTGTATACTGAAAAACATATACTGTTAACGTTTGAAGAATGTTTGTGAATAACTTCATCTCAACCCTACTTCATTAAATGTTATAAGACATTTAAGTATTCTAAAAGCTAATTTAATAACCGAGTATAATCAGATCAGTGTATACAACCAAGTGTCCATTTTACATAAAGTATTTATGTCTCTTAAAGTTTACTTTCTACTGAAACTGTCACATATTGGAACATTGTTTTTCTTTTCAAAATGAAACATCATTTTAAATTAAACACTACTCTTTATAATAAACAGCTAATTCATATTGAATCTTGTTAAATAAATACAGTAGAGCCTTAAGCACAAGCTATCTCTTTATTGCTTGCTTTTATTGTATCTTATAGTTTTTCATACCTAATATTTCTGTTCTGTAACATTTGTTATGTATTTGCAGTACTGCATTTTCGTAAGATTTGTTTCTTTTTTTATATGTTTATTTATTCCTTTCTTGCATAATACATACATAACATTGAACAGAAAAAAATAACAATGAAAAAGCCTTAATAAAAAATAGACATTACAATATAATACAAGATAAGTTTTGTTTCTTGTAAACAATGGATAATACGAATAAAAAAAATCAGAAATAATAGTTAACATAATGAATTATACAATAATAATGCCTGTATATCAAATATCTATTTCAGTGTTTGTATTTGCTTTTGCTGCTGTTGAAGTGTGCAGTTAATGGTAAGATGTGCCCGCCTAATAAGTCAAATATTATACAAATCATTATTGGTTTAATTGTTAGAGTCCAGTTTTTAACTGTGAGTACAAGATAACAACAAACATATACCAACTCTTGTTAGTCATGTTATTGTATTTCATAAATCAATAATATGCCTATAGGGATTTCAATACTTATATGTCGTTTAGAGATATATGGTCAATTGGTGTCAACATCTGACCAGGTGGCTAAAGAAGGAGAAGATGAAGTAGTAATGTCATGTGACTACTCACAAGTTAGTTCTACACTAAAAGTCATCAGATGGGATGAAGTAAATGAAGACCTGGGCAGTGATGTACGTGGTATTGTAAATGATAGAACTACAGTCAATGGACGATACAGCTTAAGACAAACACCTGGGAACGCTGACCTTGTTATTTCAAAACCAGGAAGAAATGATTCTGGAAGAAGATTTAGATGTCAGATCCAGAAATCAGACGGAGCTTTTATAATCTCAAGGGATGCTGCCATTCTCACTGTATATTGTAAGTAAGCCTATGGCAGACTGAATCGTATATGTTTTTTTTTTCCAAATTTTACTTTTCCTTTAAATAAACCAACTATAAATTATTTATTGTCTAGACTTAGATCAACCTGTCGTCACTGCTTCAATGAGTATTTTATTTCCAAATTTTACTTTTCCTTTAAAATTAACAAATTATAAATTATTTATTGTTTAGACCTAGATCAGCCTCTCGTCACTGCTTCAAAGAGTATTGTCGATGAAGGTCAGCCAGTGACCATGACCTGTAATAAACCTGATAGTGACCCAGTCCCTAATAACATAACATGGTATAAAAATGGAAAAGCACTCAACACAATATACATCTCTAAATTTACTACAAGTGCAAGAAATTCACTTGAAATACACATAGAAGCTGCAACTGCAGATGATGGTGGCTACTATACGTGTAAAGCTGAAAGTGATCAATTCAAAGGAAAAGATGGCAAAACCAGTGCCCAGTTTGAACTGAGAGTAATTGAATACTGTACGTATTTTACTCTCTGCTTTATTCTTTCCTAGTAACTTATAGTTATTTATATTATGTATGTGTAAGCAATATATATTGTAAGGATGGGTGTTTTCGTGATAAAACTCTTAAATTTGCAAATAGCTGTTAGTCTTGTATTTAAACTCAGAGCTGGTTTTCAAACGTGAACTGCAGAGGATCATGAAAAAACCAAACTAAAATTGACGACGTCATTATTGAATATTTAGTTTACTTATTTATATTATATATATA